TGTGCATCTGTGGGCAGCAAAAGCAGATTGAAGCTAGACACTGCAGAGTTTTCTGAGTGTGGATGTGATGTGGCTTTTGGGGTCTGTCTGTGGCTTTAGCCATGGCATAAGCTGGCTTTCTGTATTTGTTCTGTGGCTGAACATAGTGAGAACAAAGGCTCCAGGACTATTTTAATCACCAGCTGTCATATAAGCACTCAGTTCACTAAAAATAGATATCTATAAGAAATAAAACACCCATGAACTTGTATGATAAAGAGTGAAGTTTGTACATACTGAGGGTGTTGCTTGCTGAAATGATGTTGGATACTTGGCTGTTCCTATCATAAGCTTCCCCTTTAGGGAAGCTATGTTTATTGTTTTATTAGGTGACTGTAGAAGATTTCTTGAATTGCTAGTCAGTGAACAATAAACTTGAAATTGCCTTTCCAGATGCTCAGTGTCTCGTGTTTTGTGAATTGCTTAGGTTGCAAAATGAATCGGCAGCCAATGAAGTCCTTGCAAGCATTCAAAACTACTTCAGAACACAACCTTTTGAATTTAGGGGTGCGCAAATCATAACTGGGCCAGAGGAAGGGTTGTATGGATGGATAACGGCCAACTATTTAATGGGCAATTTCTTAGAGGTGTGTGGAAAAAACTGCATGCTTTTCTTTTCACTGTTTCTCTCCTATAAATGAGGTGTTTGAGAGGACAATGCCTGTTAAAGCATCATAGCTGTAACTTCCATTTTGCACTGAAATCTGTAACAGGGTCTTTTTGTGGCAGGAATAGAACAAAGCAAATGTAAATCAATGAACATGTTATGGGAATGTGCTATGGCAAAGGTAAAATTGTCGATCCGCAATAAAGGGCTCTTCCCTAAATGACAATGAATGCCTTACTTAGAAACAAAGAGTTACATTGCTATTAAATGCACTGGCATGTTAAGTGTTACAGGCATTAATTGTGTTGACAATGGTGCCAACTAAGGATGGTTTTTTCTGCTTATCTGCTGTCCCTGCAGCTCTGCTGGTGAAGGACCTGCACAGCTTAGGGGTCTCCAAATTGTTTGGCAGTGTTGGTTCACTTGTCTTAAGCAGACAAGACTGTTTGAAGCAGGGAAGGTGGTTAAACTGATGTGGCCAAATGTGTCTCAGCTGAGCCAGAAATCATTCATGCACAGTTCATTCCAATACTGCTGAAAAGCTGCAGGCTATGAGGAAGAGGCTGCAATACCAACTGTCTTGTGCAGACCAAGTGATACCAATATAAGATACTTATGCTGTCCTTGAACTCGGAAGTGTCAGGCGGGAGCCTCGTGGCAGAGAGGGATTCAAATGTTGTTGGAAGATCCCTTTTTATATACAGATATTCAGGATAATTTCATTCAGAGTAAAAGCTGTACCAAGATGATCAGCAACTGCTCATCTTGCATTCATGGAGCAGTGTGCGCCTCTTAGCATTAACTGCATTTCTTCCAGATTGTGTCACTAGGCTGAAAGAAATTTCAACCAGACTGCTGAGTATTGTTAGCTGTCCTGGTTGAATGGTTCCTCTTAGATCAGAAATTAGTTGTTGGTGATCTGAGCAACAGCTCATGGTGAATATGTTGTTGACTCATGCAAAGTTACTGGAATCACAGGTTCAGGAAGAGTTCTTCTCATTGTGTGCATTTTATGCAACAAAAATGGCATCACAAACTTCAGGCTGGTGTCAGTCTTTACCACATGAATGTTAATAATCCAAATATCAAATTCCATATGGCAAATTCATAAGGACTACTGAATGGACTGCAAGACACTGTGAAAACAGTTTAGTCTAGAGAGTTGCGTGAAGAGCTTCATGTAGGAATATCACTGGTAGCAGAGAGAAATTTTCACCTTTCTTGTGACAGTGAGCTAAGAGTCAAATTTTGCTAGGGGCTGTTTATGGAAATCTTTCACTGCAGAATTTTATTGTGAGTATATTTGCTAGCCTATAAGGTTTCTTTTCTCTTCTTGTGTATACATTCATCTCATCATGCTCAGTGAGTAGTACTACAGTAAATACTGAGATAATAATAGAAAATCTGTATTTGGCACTGTGACTACACAGATCAAATACAGAATTTGGGGAATGTTTTGGGTAATAGGGAACAATGCCAGCTGCATGGCTCAGATTTATTGCCACTGCAGTTTCAGTGAAGAAAATGTGCAATTAGGGGTCCTTGTTCTTTTGAATTTGATGGAGCTTTCATTTGCCTTTTCTGTGTTTTTCACTATTTTCACTCTCTTTTCCAGTGTGATCTGTTAATATCCTACTCCTTTAATATTTCTTCTTGCCTTGAAACAAATCTTCATACTATTTCCATCCAGATTTGTGCAAGATCTCATGGGTATCTGAACTTCAATTCCCTGCATTCTAGGGTAGACATTGATCTGGCTAGTCCTGTGCTTTGATTGTTGTGCTGTCCTGTTGAGTTGAACACTATGCTACATTCCTCTTTCCGTCTTTCAAGATCATTTCACTCTGTACATCCCTCTTATGTAAAAAACATCCTCATGTTTTCCTCAAAGCTACAGATTTTTGGAAAGGGTGCAGGAGAAAGGGGGGGGGGAATCTCTAAAGAGTTGAGTAGATAAATGTGAAGGGAGAACAGCCAGATGATATTTCTTATTTGCTTTGTTTTTAATTTTGCATGTAGAAAAACCTTTGGAGGACATGGGTTCATCCTTACAGAAAAAAGACTATGGGTGCACTGGATCTTGGAGGAGCTTCCACTCAAATTTCATTTATTCCAGAGGACTCTCAGGAGCACTTGAATAACACCTTGCAAGTGAAGTTGTATGGTTACAACTACAATGTCTACACTCACAGCTTCCAGTGCTATGGGAGAGATGAAGCTGAGAAAAGGCTTTTAGCATTGCTGCTCCAGGTCTGTGTAAGACCCTTTGCTATGTTGCTCCTGCAGGTATTCAGTTATTGTCTGAGCAATGTCTTAGGCTTGTGCTCACTTCCCTTTGATAGAGTTTGGAGACCCCAGTAAGAGCTCTGTTGTGCTTTGTTGTGGACAAACACACTTAGGTTTCATACAAAGATCTTCATATTTTTTAAAATTTTATGAGTTTTGTACCATTTTACAAAAAGGCCTCTAACTGTTTTGCTGATCTTGCCAATGATTTTTTGAGAAAGGAATTTCTTCGAATAAAAGTGCACAGCGATGTTGTACTGATGAGTCATGACAGAGAAAAAAATACATGCATATGCAGTTTAAAAAGATTCCTGTATTAATGTCAAATTAGGTCTTTCCTGCTTTTGAGTATCCTTTATTGTTTGGGGTTTCTTGATTGCTTTTTGGTTTTGTTTTTTCCAGAAATCAACTGCCAGTTCCAATGTGGATAATCCGTGTTACCCTCGAGATTATAATACTGCATTAACAATGAAGTACTTCTCTGGCAGCCTTTGTACACAGTCTCTGAGACCAACAAATTACTATGCAAGCCAGATTGTGAATTTCCATGGAACAGGAGACCCAGGTCTGTGCCAGGAGATGGTTTCTTTACTCTTTAACTTCACTGCTTGCAGGGACAGAGAAGACTGTCCGTTTAATGGAATACATCAGCCGAAAGCTACAGGGAGTTTTGTGGTAGGTTTTTAAACACAGTGTTTCTTTTTGAGCTTGCTTGCTTTTGATTTCTGTAGTTCCGAAAGTAACAGGCCTGTCAACTGCTCCTTTTCTATAGGCTTTCTCCGGGTTCTACTATACAATGAATGCTTTGAATTTATCTGGGCACTTTTCCCTAGCTGACTTCAATTCAAGCATGTGGTTCTTCTGTTCACAGAGCTGGACACAGGTAAGCAGGTTGTTTATTTGGTTTTGGGGATGTTTGTTTTTTTTTTCACTTTTGTATCTGTAAAAGAGAGATATAAAAAGAATATGGACTGGACAGGTGTTCAGAACTTTTGAGAAGGTCTGTATCAACATCGGCATTTGTTTTTCCACTGTGCTGCAAACCATGTAGTATTTCTATCATGCATAACACTTGGATTAGGTTTTGAAATTTCATTTCATGGTTTTAACCATGCTGTAAAGATGACTTTGAAAAATTAGAAACCATAACATCCTCAATCATTTATGTGCAGTTTTGTTTATTTTCATTTTTTACTACATAGACTATATCACTGTCAAGGTATTTCTTTTTCTAAATCTCTGTATCTAATTTCCTACACTTTTACTTGGTGTTTCTGAAAAATGCTACTAAATTCTAATTAAAATCCAAATATTCTCTAGTTAGAAAAAAACCAAAATAATTTAATTTTTCATAACTTATGTGGGTTTTTTTAAATTTTGCTTTCAGCTCCAGTCTGTGCTGCCTAAATTTGAAGAAATATATGCTAGATCCTACTGTTTTTCAGCCAATTTCATTTATTACTTGCTTGTCCATGGTTACAACTTTGATGCAGAAACTTGGCCACAGATACATTTTCAAAAGGAGGTGAGTGATAATCATTTTCTCTTATTGTCATTTTAATCCAAAGAAGTTTAGAAGGAGACAGAAGATGCTGCAGCCTACAAAAATATAATGGTTGTAAACAGCCTTCGTAAATGACCATCCAATGTTTGGCATAAGACAAAGTCACTTTTCAAGCCCCAGTAGCAATTCCAGCCTGGCTTCCAGGGGTCACAGCATTGCTTGGAGATGCTGCCTAGATTCTTAGAAAGAGCTTTAAGAAATGATCAAATGCCTGTGTTTTAAACCTTTCCCAAGTTTGTTGAAGTAGTGGCTTGCTCTAGGCCCTGATCTGCCTAAAACACCTT